ACGTGCCTGGGAAGAAACACTCAACTTCAGGAATGAGTTTATCTGGGTGAGTGGATTATAGTGCTTAAAACACTCTCTCTCTCTCTCTCTCTCTCTCTCTCTCTCTCTCTCTCTCACTTTTTTTTGTATTTCTAAGTATTTTTCTGATTTTCTGTAATTATTATTTTTAACTTTTGTTAACATATAAAAAAATTATGGGAAGGGTGTCTGCCCTTCCAATAGGATTTTTAGAAAGAAGATATTTGACCCAGCTATCCCACTCCTCAGCATATACTCAAAGGAGTTAAAATCAGCTTTCTACAGTGACACAGACACATCAATGTTTATAGCAGCACAATTCACAGTAGCTAAACTGTGGAACCAACCTAGGTTCCCTTCAACAGATGAATAGGCAAAGAAAATGTGGTTTATATACACAGTAGAATATTACTCAACCTTAAAGAAGAATGAAATTATGGCATTTGCTGGCAAATGGATGGAACTGGAGAGTATCATGCTAAGTGAAATAACCAATCCCCCAAACCAAAGGCCCAATGTTCTCTCTGATCTGTGGATGCTAACCCACAACAAGGGAGGGTATGGAGGGGAAGAATAGAAGTTCATTTGATTAGACAAAGGGGAATGAAGGGAAGGGAGGTGGGAGAGGAATAGGAAGGACAGTAGAATTAATCGGGCAAAACTYTCCTACACTCATTTATGAACACACGAACAGGGTAACTCCACATCACGTACAACCGTAAGACTAGGGTCCTAATTATAATAAGTTATACTCCATGTATGTATAATATTCCAGAATACATTCTACTGCCGTGTATAACTAAAAAGAACAAATAAAAAAGGAAGATATGAGAAATGCATTTTCCCAGTGTTCATTGTTTTCCTTTTAAAAGCTTGTGTTTTACCCAGATGTAGGATATGAATTAGACTTCTGTTAGAACTGTGGCAAGCATCTGCTTGACCTTTTTCCCTGGCTTCCTGGCTCTCAGGGCAGCCCTAACTTTTAGCTTTCCTCATAACAGAGCCCACCTGCTCTGACTCCTGTCCCTGCTCCAGCTCTGCTTTCAAACTTGTCCCTCCTACGAGTAGCTACATAGGAGCTGTGTCTGGCTGTATGAACTCATCTTCCACCTTTGCTTATGATCTTCCTGCTGTCGGGACTRTTTCCTTTCCTACCTGGCAAACTTATTCATGCGCCTCCATCCACCGAAAATCGAGTCCTCCTGATGTTCCCTTCTTGATGCTCCCTGTTGACCCATTCCTATACCTGCATGTATACTGCGGGATTATTTTACTCACTCCTGGATACCCAGATAGCACCTGGCACATAGTAAGTATTTTGTTACTATTTGTTGAATGGAGTCACGTGTCTTCTTTCCACAGAGGTGCACAGAGTGCTCACAATGTGCAAAGTGCCAGGCTGGGTACACGTGACTTTCCTGGGATTCAAAGTCAGTGAGGCACAGACCTTGCGTGTAGGAGTTTAYAGTCCAGTAGGACACAAGACACAGGTGAGGACAATGACAGTGGGGCCCAGGCAGCTGTTTCTCACCTTTTCTCCTTCTTGGTATCCCCCCTTAACTGAAGATAGCTTGAAAACGCACTTCAGATTTACTGCTTGCCTTACTTCCTCAAAAGAATCATTTCCTACACACAGTTTCTGAAATAATTTAATGGGATGATTTTCTATTTCTCTCTCCATCACAGTATGAGAAGGACTATTTGAATAGTCCAAGTGGCCCCACAAAYTGCTGTTTCCCAAGCAAGTGTGCACCCCATGACCAGAAGTGTACAAGTCACAGCTGGTGACCACCAGGTGCTCTGGGGACAGCCRAGAAGGGACTGAAGCTAGAGAAGGCTGGCTGAACTGGATGACCTTGAAGGTCTTTTCCACTCTGACTCTAAGAAAAATAAATCAAGCCTCAAGATCACAAAACTGGGWCTTCTGAGATGCTGTCATCTCAGTCCAAAGCCTGGAACAGTGCCCCGTTGAAGGGGGAATTTTCTGGAAACCCTGCTGATATTCTGTCTTAAACCATTTGGGCTCAGTGGATTTGCTCTCTGGCTAAATCCAGAGAGCATTTCCAGAAGCATGTCCCTGATTTGCAGACCTTGTCTTGTACTGGGACTGGCGCAAATGAGAATCTGCTGAGCCTGTGCACATAGAAATATGAGAGGCAAATAAGGGGTTTGAATGAGCACTGATGGCTCAGAGGTCCTGGTGTGGCAACTACCCCAGGAGCTCTTTAATATGGAGGAATTTGAGTTTACCACTCTTTAAAATGAAACAAAGCAGGGTACGGTGGTGCACACCTGTAATCCCAGTGGCTCCAGAGGCTGAAGCAGGAGAATCGCGAGTTCAAAGCCAGCCTCAGCAAAAAAGCAAGGCACTAAACAACTCAGTGAGGCCCTGTCTCTAAATARAATACAAAATAGGGCTGGGGATGTGCCTCAGTGGTCGAGCGCTCCTGAGTTCAATCCCTGGCACCCTCCCAAAATAAGAAACAAAGAAAAGCAGTAATTATTCCCTAATTTTAGAAGTTAACCATTGAGTAGAAAAAGCAAACTTTAGTTTAGTTTCTCCTACGCTACACTCACAATTCAGATCACTTCTGCAATCCTAAAATGTGTGGCGACTTCTTCTCAGTAGTAATCAACAAGTAATTTCTGCAGTGTCTTCTGATTTAATTCTGCTCTGACACCATCTACCTGGAGACAGGATCAGATCTCACAGATCTAGGGCCCAGCTCCCAAGACTGGCCCCCAACTTCTGATGCCAATCTCAAGTTCCAGGGTGTTTTGTCTGTGCTTCTGACAGGCTGGCTATAAATTAGGGTTCCCACAACCCCCTCCTTGGGTTCARTTAATTTTCTAAGGTTGCTCACAGAACTCATTGTTAAGGTTTGGGTATGAGATGTCCCTCAAAAGCTCCCGCGTTAATGCAGGAGGTGGATTGATCAGATCATGAGAGCTTGTAACTGAATTCGTGGATTAATCAATTTGATGGATCAATAGTTTGAAAAGACTTCTGTATGGGAGATCAGCAGGTGGGCCATGGCTGGAGGAGCTGGGTCACTGGGGGGGTGTGCCTTTGGGGTTTATATTTACCTGGCACCTGCTTGCTCTCTCTCTCTCTCTCTCTCTCTCTCTCTCTCTCTGATTCCTGGCTGCCATGATGTGAGAGCGCTTCTCGACCATGCCCCTCTGCCACGGTGCGCTCCTCCACCATGCCCCTCTGCCACAGTGCTCTGGCTCACTCAGGCAAAGAGTAACGGAGCCGGCTGACCGTGGACTGAACCGCTGAAACCATGAGCCCCAAATAAACTTTCCCTCCTCTAAGTTGTTCTTGTTAGGTTATTTTGATCAGAGTGATGAATAGGTGACTGACAYACACGTGTACTGGTTTATTATAAAGGACATTACAAAAGTACAGATGAAGAGATGCACAGGGAAAGGCATAAGCAAAGGGCATGATGGCTTCAAGTAACTGCCACATGTCCAGATAGCTGGAAGCTCTCTGAACACTAGCCTTCGGGGCTTTCATGGAAGCCTTCTTGTGTAGGCACCATTGAAACTTGAGCAGTCATGTAAAAGTATGCTGGGACATGATCTGGTTATGGTCTGGTTTGGGAGTATAGTTCAGTGGTTAGAGCATGTGCTTAGAATGTGTGAAGCTCTAGGTTCAACCCCAGCACACACACACACACACACACACACACACACACACACAGAGAGAGAGAGAGAGAGAGAGAGAGAGAGAGAGAGAAGTTATGAATTACACGTACTAGACTGAGTGGGAAACCCTGTGAGGCCCGTCTGTCCAGATTGGACTCAGCCTCCCTACGCAGCACTGCTTCTTGCTGARTATGGWGTGGGACTCCTTCTGAGATATGGRGGTCTGATGATCTGACAAAGYAGRTCAGAGAATTTCTTTATGACCTGCTCCATGACAGAAAGTTGAGGGAATAATAGTTTCTACAGCTTCCCTTGGGRAAGAGAAATTTTAGTTTCTCTGGCCCACTTTGAAAATAGAGTTATGAGCCAGGAATTGTGGGTGAAAATATGAAAATATGTTATCATCATAATATCACAACCAGAGACATCTAAAATCTCCACTAGGTGGTCCTAATCTGCACCAGATGGTCAGAGTTATCATTTGGAGCTCATCTCTTGCAAGGCAAGAGGAAAAGTAAAAAGCACTTTGAATTCTAGTTGCACGGTGACCGTATCTGGGGAAGTAGACAATTTCTCTGGAGCTTTTTTAAAAAGAGCTTTCAGCACACAGGCTGCTGTCTGGACAGCAGCCTTTCTGGGACCTGTGGTCTGGAAGACAGAGAGAGGATGAGGCTGCCTGGAGAACCAGCTGCACCAGACCCTGAAGGCTACAGAGGATGGGTGGCTCATTTGYCCAGCTTYCCATGACAGGGACAGGGGAAAGGTGGGGTTCTTTTCCYGTGGGAGATCTTTACTCCAGGCTCATTGAGCTGGGAACCTCTGCACCTGATTATTCYAATATATCTTTATACATACGCTGGGGCAGAATTTAGCTCCATGCATAGGCAYAGCAGTCTCCAGAATAAGCCCAGCACAGATTGAACTCATGCTGAGCCACCTGGACATGCTGCTTGGCCTCTCCACGCTTCCCTTTAGCATGATGCTAGAGATGCCCTCCAAGCCAGGCTGTGTGATGTATTAAAGTGAACAATACGTGGAAAGTTCTTAGCTCAGGACACAGCTCAGACTAAGTGCCCAAACATTTTTGTTGAGAATTGATACTATGGTTACAAAGTGGCACTAAGCAGAGCCGGAGGTAAGTTTGTTGGTAAGTTTTCCATGACCCCCAACCCCTTCACTGCACAGCTGTCTCTTTGAGGAAGGAAAAGTGAAAGACCCTGGATTGGATGGAAGACAGCCAACATCCTTCCCTATAAAACCCTTGCTCCACCCCTGCTCCAGGCCTTCTGGTTGAAATTTCTCTGGACCAAGCAAGGCWTCAGCTAGCACATGGCTTGCTGAGGGCTGTGGCTGTGAGCAGGTCTTCAGGAAAGTCAGGGAGGAGGAGCTGGAGTGTGGCTGTGGCCTGTGGTCTGGAAGACAGGGAAAGAATGAGGCTGACTGAAGAACCAGCTGGGCCAGACCCTGAAGGCTGCAGAGGGTGAGTGGCTCATTTGTCCAGCTTTCCATGACAGGGACAGGGAGAGGTGGGGTTCTTTTYCTGTGGGATATCTAGAAAGGGTGGCTGGTCTGCTTTGGGCAAAAGTTAGGACATGAGTTCTGCTCTTACCTTGTCACTCCCTGTCCTAGTCTCCTCTAATCCCCTCTCAGAGTTCTCTGTTCGTTCACATTCTGCTGGCTGGCCACACTGATCTCATCTCTGAGAAGTGAGAGGTGCAATCCAGTCCCTGCCTCCCTGGGCCAGCATTGACGCCCAGTCTGTGTTCCAGAGTTCTCGCAGCTCTGTGGAGTGACTCACTGAGGGGTCCTGAGAGGCAAAGTTCTGCTCMACTCTCAGGGCAGTACTTTTCCAATTATGGGCCTCGACTACCCTGAATTGATCACAAGCATCCAGAGTGCTGGTTAAATGTGCAGGTGCCCAGCTCCCACTGGAGTTGATGCATCACACTGTTTATTTTCACAAGCTCCCCTGCTTCTGGCAGGCAGGTTGTGCAATGTGGGAGCCACTGCTCTTCAGGAGGATGGTGTTTGGGGCTGTGGAGGGCTGTCTTGAAACTGCTGGAAGGTRACTGGATGTCAGAGGGAGATGTGATGGTCGTGGGACACATCACATGTGGGAAGTCATCACTTGTGAAACTCAGGGGCACAGGGGCACCTCTGCTGACCTGGTGGCTACAGAAGTAGTGAGCTCCTATCAGGGAAAGTTTAGGCTGATTTTTTGCATAGGAGGGGGAGCCGGTGGGGCTGGAGCTGACATAGTGGTTCTCTGCAGCTGGCGTGGAACTATCTAGGAAGCTCAGAGAAGCCAAATCTTAAAATAGACTTAYGTTGAGGCCCTGGGAGATGAGAAGCTCTGATTGGAAGTTCCCTTCCATTTTTACAAATTTGTTTCTGTGATGGCCCAACAGGTTTAATAATAACAATACCTACTGCATTTGGGTATCCCAAAGCTTTAAAGGGACAACAGGCTAGGGAACAATATGTGGAGGAATGAAGTGCCTGGCAATCTGGAGGYCTGCGTTCCTGCCTTGGAGGATGCAGAAGCTTCCCTGTCTCTGTGGGAGGCTGGCGTGGGCATTGACACAGCCCCTGCCACTTCTACTGCACTTTTCTGAAGTCCCCACTTCTCTTCCTGCTCCAGAGTGAGGTGGGCCCTAGGGGTTTTGAACTGGCCTTTGGAAGAGGCTGCCTGGAGAACCCTCTTCTTGGTGCACAGTCCCAGTGGCTCACTAGAACCATGTGTTTACAGATGAGGAGGCAGCAAGCACCTGGTTAGGTGGTCTGTACAGAGAACCTGAGGGGTCCAGAGCTTGGGACCTAGTCAYAGCTCTGCCCTGAGTCACTTCAGGGTCCCTGGGAGGAAATCTCTCTGTGTCCACTCTGGGAAATAGGAATCTATACCAGACTTGCTAATTTGGAAGGTGGAGTTAGGCATACATTATTTATATACACACACATACATACATACACACACACACAATAAAATATACATTTATTGTATATACACACAAATATACACATGCATATATAAACACACATATAAATACACACACATAAACATACACAATAGACTAAAGCATATGTATGTGTGCACATATATATGCTTTAGTGTACTGTGTATGTATATGTGTGTATATACGTGTGTTTATATATAAACATATACTCATATACATACCACACATATATAACATATAATGCATTGTTTTAAATTTTGTTTAGTTGTCAATGGACATTTATTTTATTTATTTGTAAGTGGTGCTGAGAATCAAACCCATTGCCTCACACATTCTAGGCAAGTACTCTAACACTGAGCCACAATCCCAGCCCYCCAACACATGTTTATAAAGAGATCAAATAGAGAGAAACAGAAAAGTCAGATAACTTGCACAGTTGCCAAGCAAGCAAGGGTAGCTCACAAGCCCTCTCTGAAGGTTTGGGAGTTCTCTCTGAGGGTTAAACCAGCAGCTCTGGTGTTATCATTGGAATGCACCCTTCTAAGYCCCAGTGCTCAGCACCTCTCAGGGTCTGCTGCTCAGGGGCTTGCCCTTCAGCTCCTGGGGGTTGGGCCTGACCTGGACACCTGCTCTTGGAGGTGCCTGAGTGCTCAGGAGTAGGAATGTCAGGGAAAGAGTGGTAAATAGAAGATAGGGGCAGAGGAAGCCAAGAAGGAGTGAAGCCCCAGGATGCGGAGGGTCACACAGAATGGGTAGGCAGAAGGGCTCCAAGGCAGGCTGGGGACCCTGGCACCACCTGGCAGGCAGCAGAGGCAGCTGGCAAGGGTGGAGTGAGCTGGAGGATTGGGGATCCATTGGGGATTACAATTATGCTGGGACACATGCTAGGCAGAGGCTATACCTCTTCCCCTCCCCCTCCTAGCAATCCCCCCACCAGAACCCCACGGGACCTCTTGTATTGCTAAGAGCCCTGTGACTGTGTCACGGAAAGGGGTGTCCTGATTTCCTCACTAAACTCTGATCAGAGGGCATGAGGGGAGATGGTCAATGCTGTGTGGCCGCATAGACTGCACCCTGGGCCTGCAGTCCTGGCTGAGCCAGGCTCATTCTAGAAGTGTTGGAGCAGGACCAGAGGCTCTGGGGCATACCAGGATGGAAGAACAGACTTGAATTTGAGCTCTGTCTCTGTGTCTAACCTGCTGAATACATTTAACTAAGAACCTTAACTGCTCTGAGTCCATTTCCTCTCTGCAAAGTGCCATGGCCCACCAGAGAGCCAATGAAGCAGGAGTGGTAGGAAGGATGGGAAAGCAGGGAAGAGCTGTGTGAAGGTGAGGTGGAAAAGCCATCATCATCTGGAGTGATCCTTATCATGGGGTCCGTTCCACGGGAGCCCTGTCTTTTCACAGCCTATAGAGATGCAAGCCTTGGCCAGCCCCCATAGTGGGGAGGCAGGGCTGGAGGCTTGGGGAGGAAAAGGCCTGGCTGCAGAGGTTCCGAGCCACAGTCAAAGCTGAACGTACTGCAGGCGAGGCCCAGAGCCTGAGTTAGAGCGCAGCAGAGGTCCTGGCACCACCATGGGGCCTCTGGAGCCCAGGGCCACCCCAAACCCATAAGTTTATCTCCTTTGTCTCCCAGCACAAGTGCAGAGGAGGATGCCAAGTGGCTTCAGTGGGTGACACAGCAGTTCAAGAACATTGCCGGAAAAGACAGGGAGATCAACCTACAAGAATTCAAAAGAGCAYTGAATGTGAAAGAGGCAAGTAACAACCCGAAGCAGGGACCCTGCCTTTATATTTTATAGAGGAAGAGCAGCTGGTTCTCAAGACAGAGGCCTTACAGGAGAGCCAGGGAGTTCCCCAGGGTTCCTTTGGACTTGAGCCCCCACAGCTAAGAAGGGCTGGCAAGGGGTTGCTGGTGCCCTCCCATCCCTCTGAGTAGCCATGGCCTTCTGGGGTTTTCCWACAACACACGAGCTGGGTGCGGTGGTTCATGCCAGTAATCTCAGTGACTCRGGACGCTGAGGCAGGAGGATCACAAGCTCAAAGCCAGAGTCAGCAATTTAGTGAGACCCTGTCTCAAAATAAAAACCAAAAAGAATTGGGGATGCGCCCCAGGATTCAATCCCCAGTACAAAAAAGAAATCAAAGGAGGAAGAAGAAAAGAAATCCCACAAAGTAGAAGTCAGCAGAAATATTGAGAGATAGTACAGCCTCTCAGTTCCCTCTAGCCTTGAGGGTAAAGCTGATGCTCTAACTTTAGCCTCTTTCCAGGGAAAAGTTTTTGAACCGCAGCAGGCCTCCCTGCCAAGAAAACAATGCACTTATCAGCAGAAAAGAGAGCCAACTGTCCTCTGAGCTGACATGGGATGGTGGCCGTGTCCTTGGCAGGGGTTGGCCAGTGAGCATTTGAGTGTCCCAGGTGGATCAGAAAGCACTGCTTGGGAAACTAAAGTCGAAAGTCCTAACCCAGAAAACACAGGGAAGGAACAATTGGCCCACTCAGTCCAATGATTCAGTTCCTTCAAAACAGGAGGCTGTGAACACCTCAAGGTAAAGGTCACTCATGGTGATAGAAAGATAAAGGCMCTACCCTAGGAACCCAGGGGGAAAGGAAGGAAGCCCAGGCTGACAAGCTCCTCCCTCCCCCCAGGGAGGCATCTCAGGACTCCAAGCCCCACCCACCTTAATTCCTGTGTGTGTCTCCAGCATCTTCTGCCAGGCCTGGAAAGCAGGGGCTGCACAGTACGTGACTGTTGATAACTGAGTCAGCTCTTAAGAACAAGCCATAAGTGTAGGCTGCAGAGAGCCTTAAGAACCAGAAAAGCACTACTGTATAAGTCCCTGTCAAGTTCACTTACCCCTTGTGGACACCCAAAAGGGGAGGAGACAAATTCTGGAAGGAACCCGCCCTTTTCCCAGGTTGGGTAAGGGGCCACCCAGAGATCTGGACTGCAAGGCCGACAGGGRCTCTAGCATGCAGGTCTGCAGCCACACGGGTCTCCCCCGCTTCCCCTCCACAGTCCTTCTTTGCAGAGCGGTTCTTTACCCTGTTTGACTCGGACGGAAATGGCACCATCACCCTGGAGGAGCTGCAGGAGGCGCTCACCCTGCTCACCCGCGGCCACCCCATGGACAAACTCAAATTCCTCTTCCAGGTGTACGACGTGGATGGTGAGGGCTCTTCCTGGGCACGGGCTGGGTGGAGAGGACGGGGCCCTTGGAAGACGCCAGCCGTCTCAATGCTAAGTTCCATGAGGCTCTACAGACCTAGCCTGGGCCTGAGCCTGGGTCCTCAGGAGAGGCTGGCTTCCTTGTCCCTCCTGAAGTCCCCCWTCTCTGCCCCTCTGGGGCAGGAAACACATGCCTTTGATTCAACTTACCCAGAAGCTGGTGGTTTCCTTCTGTTCTTTGGTTGAAAAAAGAAATCACTTTGTTGCTTTTTTCTTATCATCACAATAATAGAAGCTCACCATGAACATGTCTGATAACTCAACATGGTGTAAAGAAAGCTAACACCTCCCATAACATTTTACCAAACTTCTTTCTATGGTCACACACACCCCACACACCTTTTTAAAAAATGGGACCATGCTAGTTTATTTTTCATTAAACAATATCCATATTTTTCATGTAAGAATACATTGCTTTACAACATCATTTTTATCATAGTGAAATATACATAACATAAAATTTACCATTATAACCATTTTAACGGTGAAGTTCACTGGCATTAAGTGCATTCAGAACTTCCCATCTTTCCAAATTGAAACTCTGTACTGTTAAACACTAATTCCCCATTCCCCTCCCCCCTCCTTCTACTTTCTGTCTCTGAGAATTTGACGGCTCTAGATATCTCATATAAGTGTGATTATACAATATTTGTCCTTTTGTGTCTTGCTTGTTTCATTTAATATGATGTCTTCAAGTTTCACCAATGTTGTATTATGTGACAGGATTTCATTCCTTTTTAAGTCTGAATAATATTACACACACACACACACACACACACACACACACACACTAACACACAAACACACCACATTTTTTGTTTATTCATACATCTGTCAACAGACCCTTATATTGTTTCTGTCATTTGGTAACTGTGAATAATGCTGCTATGGACATTAATATACAAATACGTTTGTGTCCCTCTTTTCAATTCTTTTGGGTACATACTCAGAAGTGGAATTGATAGATCACATCATAATCCTGTGTCTAATTTTTCAAGGAACTGCCTTGTTTTCTACAAAGGCTGCAGAGTTTTATGTTCCTTCAGCAATGGACAATTGTTCCAAGTTCTCCACTTCCTTTCTAATACTGTTACTTGTTACTTGTGGGAACTCACAGGGGTTCTTGCACTGTTTTTGAGTGCRGCTTCATGGTTCCCACATATGCTGTGTAGCCTAGTTTAGTAGTTAAGGGCTCAGACTCTGAAGCTGGGCTACCTAGGTTCCAATATCAGTTTCATCTCTGAATTTTAGCATGTTAYTTATTGAGGTATTTTGTTTATCTCATTTTTTAAACTATTAAATGGGGATAATGATAATGATAATAGTATATACCCAGGTTGAGAGGAGGAATAAATTAGTTAATTTATGTAAACTCAGAACAGTGCTTAAACACAGGATAATTAAAGGAATCAGCTATTAAACTGTTATTGTCAGTTTTTTAAGTTCTGTTTACTTAAATCCCTTTACCTAAATGGAGAATTACAGCCTACCGCCCTTCCTCTTTGGCATTATAAACAAAATTTCAACGAATATCCTGATTTGTACATCTTTGGTGATTTATTTGATTATTTCCTTAATATAAATTCYTAGGAAGGCTTATATTATGTGTTCAGGCAGGAGATTTCAAAATTATTTTTAAATATTAAGAACAATGAAAGATAAATACAGGGAGCTAGGAAGCCCAGCCTAGCAGCTTCCTGGTAGGGGCATGGCCTCCGCTCACCCCGCCCAGGCTCTACTGCAAGGGAGGAAGACCAATCTTCTCAGCACAGGGGACAGCCAAAGCCCCTTCTTTGGTCGCTGGCACCCCTGTAAATAAATAAGCTCCCTGCTCTGCAACATGAACCTTTCCCAGCTTATACATCTAAACTTTCGGGGCCAGAGCCAGCCACTTGGAGTGCTAGCTTTTTCTGCAGAAGAGTGTGGACGCTGATTTATTCTGCTTTGATTTTTATGGCGAGTGGGTGGGGGAAGCAGTACCACCATTTGCTAAAGTGAAGAATGAAAGGAGGAGCTGGAAGACAGGAGGGGCTCTGGTAGAGGCTGGGAGAAGAGTGTTCTATTAAGTGCCTCTTCCCATTTTTGCCTTTAATAAGTGCAAAGGCCATGGTTTGGAGTCTCAGTTCAATGAGCAATGGGGAGCCATCAAAAAGTGTTGAGCAGGGGAATGACAGGACTGGATTTGCATTCCAAAAAATTTAAATGTCGATGCCGACTTGTTCMGGAAGCAGGCATGGTCAACAGCCCATGCAACTGGGGAGCAGGTTCCAGGAATGAGGTCTAGCTAGATGGGGTCAGGTGGGAATGGGAATTAGAGAAACCCCCAGAGTTGCTGACCATGCCTACTTCCTGAGCATCTTCCTCAGCCCCCTTCCCAGTCTCCCGGGGCCCCTCATCACTGGCTGTTCCTAAATACCAAATTTTGCTCACACCTGGGGGGTCATCAATGACCTGATAAGGAGGGGTCCGTCTGTAACTGGAGGAAGAAGAAATGTATACCTTGCCTTGGGGGACTGTTGTAGGGATAAACGAGGTAAGGCACTGAAGATAGCAGGAAACAGTTTTATTTGGCTGTAGCCAGGTTCAGAGGGCACAGCTTTTGCTGTAATCAATGAATCCCCTGAACCCCGAGTTCAGGGAGTTTCAGAGTTTTATACCCAGCATGTAAGGGGAGGGGCTCAGAAGTTCACAGTATGCAGAAGTTCACATAAAAGCAGCTTTTTCTTTCACTGTTTTGGGCAAGTTAACCCTTCAAGGACAACACCT